ATGTGCCCTGACTAGGAATTGAACTGGTGACCCTTTGGTTCGCAGGCTGGCACTCAATCCACTGAGCCACACCAGCCAGGATTACTTTTGTTGAATGAATAAACACAGTCATCTTTGTATGATGGTTCATAGTTTACTATGTACACGTATATGTTTTCCTTTGGCTCTCAAAACAACCCCATGAAATGGATATTATGAACATCTTTGTTTTCCACATGGGGAAACTGAGGCTGAGAGAGGTTTCATGGCTTTCTAAAAATCACCCAGAATGGGGACTCAAATCTCATTCTTTGACACCAAAGTCTGAGTTCTTCCCATGTACCACATTGACTCTAGGCATTTCCCATCACCACCTGAAAAATCAGCCAGTTACTCAGCCGTCTGAGCAGGAAGACAAAAACATTGCCCCACTGGGCCGGTCCAGGAGGAGCCGTGCAGGCTGGTGTCAGTCTGGCAGCAGGTCTTTGCAGGAGCATGAGCATTTCAGGGCTGGAGACGTGGCCCTCAGGACATTCCCAGGGACCCTGTGGGGACCCGTTTACCAATATTTACTCTCTGGTATCAGCTAGTCTCAGGGGGGTATCTTTTAAAACATCAGGCACAAATGCATTTGGTGCCTCATTTCTGTCCTTAAGAGCTCATGGCTGGGGAGAAGGGAGTAGGGCACCAGCTGTTTGTTTTACAGAGAACTAAAGGATTGCTTTTTAGGGATTGCAAAGGGGTGGATGAAGGCTGGAGACATTGAAAGTGGCAAAAACATTCGGACAGTTGCAGTGTCCAAAACAAGGCAAAGCTGCGAAGAGCGTCTCCGGTTTACAGCCAGGCAACAGGTTCAGAGGTGGGCTCGGCGCCTCCTCGGGCTGGAGAGCGCTGAGGGCAGCGTCTGCGCGCCGTGGCTCAGGCGCAAACCCGACCCAAACAGGCGAGTCAGACGCCTACTTTCTGCATGGCTGAAAAAAATCAAAAGAATATTGTGTGACATGTAAAAACTATATGAAATTCACCTTTTAGTGTCTGTAAAGGAAGGTTTATTGGAGCACAGCCGTGCCCATTCATTTATGTGCTGTCTCCAGTGGCTTTTATGCTGCAACAGAAGAGCTGAGTACTTGAGACAGGGACTCGTGTGGCTCACAAAACAAAGTATTTGCTACGTGTCCCTAGACAGAAAGTTTGCTGACCCTGACCTAGTGCCTGCTTTGTTGAAAACAGGCACTTCTGAATAATGTCCAGGGGGTTAAACCCTGGAGTACTAGATGCCTTTTGATGTTGCCAGGAGGGGTACGGGAGCCTAGACCCCCTCCCCCAACTTGGATGGTCGGGCTGCTGTGGAATCCATGGCCGCGTCCTGCCCCTGAGCCTGCGGTCCAGGCCTTGCCCTCTGCGTGCGCGGGCCAGTTGGGGCTTTGGCCTTCTCACACCTCACAGGACCCGCCTCTCAGCCTCACACCCCTGCCTTCGCAATATTCACAGTGAACATTTATTGAGAGCTTCCTCTGGGCCAGACACTCATTTCTGAGGATGAGATAAATAGTCCAAGCAGATAGATGCCATCATCACTATTATTGGTGTTCCCATGTTACAGGCACAGAAACCGAGGTTCAGGGAGACGCGATAACATGCCTGTGTCGCTCACCGGTGAGTATCAGAGCCAGGACCCAAACCAGTCATCGTGACTCCAGCGACTGCTTGGCAGGAGGGGGGCAGCTGAGGCGCAGTGGCCTGGGCTGAGATTGTGTTCATGGCTGTCCTACCTCGGGATTCTTCCCTTGGGTCCCCTTTCACTGCTACTGTCGCGCCCGAGCCCAGCCCAGCCCAGCCCAGCCCAGGAGATTGTTGATTTTTTTTCTCTTTGAACTGTTTTTTCAAAACCACTCTTCTCTTTCTCCTGATGCAACTGAGAGAGGGTGGAACATTTCTGAGAAAATTTACTTAAAAAAAAAACAAAAACAATAAAAGCAACAAATGGCAAGGGAAACCAAATGAGAGAGAAACCAGAAATTACAGACAAACCCACCCCCACCACCGACGCGTGCGGCCGGTCCGCAGGCTAGCTTGGCAGACGCACAGCACCGCTGCACCACGGCACCCTGCACAGAGAGGGGTCCAACCCCCGGAAGTTCCTCGGGAAACTCAGGAAGAGGCTGCTGCGCTTCTGGTCGGGGCCCAGTAATCCCCAAGGCGCAGCAGGAGCTTAAGTGCCACCTGAGACTGGCCCAATCCGTCTTCATCACTCGGCACCTTCCCATTTTACCTTTCCAGGTCCTTCGGGGAGGCCTTGCACCCCACACCTTCTGTGCTGAACGCTGCTGCATTCTGCCTGGGCCTGCTCCTGCTGGGCCACGTGCCACGTTCCAAAATGTTTCCCTCCTCCCCCTTCCAACAAAACTTCTAACCACATAACCTGTCCCCTCCCCGCAGAGGACGCGGGAGAGGAGCATTTCCCTCCAGCCTCCACCTCTGCTGCAGCAGGCAGCTCGGCCCTGTTTCAAGAAGGCGGCCCAATGGCTCCCTATCTGCAGGCAGGGAGGGTGGCCCCCAGCTGGCTATTCCCCCTCCTCCTCCCACAAGCCAGCCTTTCTGAGTGTGTCAGAAATTTCCATTCCTCCCACTTCTCCTCTGAGGGTTGCACTTCTGTACAGAGAGAAGGGGGACACTGAGTGGGATGGGAGGGCCCCGTCTCTTGGCATCTCCCCCCTCCCGTCCTGCTGTGATTGCTTCTGCTTCCCGCTGTCCTCCCCTGGCCCGACACTCGGTTCATTGAACTTCGAGTTTCTCTCCCTTCCTCAGTAGATGTTTCTGCCCTGGGAGCTCAAGGTCAAAAATAAAAGAAGTCTTGTGGAGCGTGCTCACAGGAAAGCAAGCACCCGGGGGGGAACTTAGTGCATGCTGAGTTATTAGAGGGGAAGGTCACGTTGGACTGTGGCACAGTCTGGTGACCCTCTAGTCCCAGTTTCCAGCTCTGTGCTGGCCACTAGTCTTGTCTTCATGTGCAAGGACTCGATCAGGTTGGAGGTCTCAGCCCTGGGCTGGGCCTTCCAGATTGGAAGCCCATGGCAACCAAAACCCCTTAGCTGTTCCATGTGTCAAGTGTGACTTTGTGGGTGAAGGAACCCTTCACATCGTAACTTTCACTTCTCTTGGGACAGGGGTGTCATATAGAGCTTGCCAAATGGATCTTTTAGGACTTCTGATTTCTGTCTAAAGCCAACCAATTTGAAGACAGGTTATACTGGCTTCTTTGGGAAGTTTAGGAGGGTTTGACAGAAAGAAAGGGGAAGAAAGGAAAGAAGAAAGAATGGGAGGTAGGGAGGGAGGGAGGAAGGAAGGAAGGAAGGACCAACAGGAAGATTGGAGAGAACTTCATTTGGTTGAAGGTAGAGCACAGAGAGTTGATAAGGGCATCATTAAAGGCTCTTGATAGCTGTCTGCCATGCTTGCAAACAATGAGAGAATATTTCTTCATGATAAGCATGCAGAAGGATTATGCAGTTTCTTATCTTGGCATGGTTCATATTAATGCCATGATGAGTTTAAATCAGTTTTATGTTTTCTCTGTGGTGCATTAGAATGCCCTCAGTGGGCATGTATGCATGTATTATTTGGAAAAACATATATTTATTTTTAGTAATTGGAATGAAACCTCAAAATCTAATTTGTCTTAACAATTACATCAAATTTAAATAGTCATATAAATATCACTTAGGAAAGCTACCGAAATAGTGTGTTTTCATAAGTATTTTCCTTTCCAGTTAAATAAGTCCCAAGACTCTCTCTGAAATATGTGTTTGAGAGCTGGGAGCTCAGAATTTAGTCTTTGCTACTGACCTCACATTTTTACTTGGGAGCTACTTAAGTTTGAAATAATCAGTAGCATTCTTTTTACCTTTTCCTCAGTAATTCTGATTTTAAAAATAGCAAATACAACTAAACCCCAGTCCCCACCTTCCTGATTCCAAAGCCCCTGGGGGTTGGGGCGTCACTTTGTGAACCACCCTTTGAGGCAGCGCCGGCCCTGCTACCCTGTTTTCTTCTCCTCACACAGCCACTCCCAGGGAGCCTGCCCTTGCACCGCCAGCTACTCTGAGGTGACCCAGAACCGGTAAAGCCAGAGGCACAGGTGTCACTTGTGTTGTCACCTAGTCAGGAGTGAAGCCAAATACACCTTCTTTAACTCTGGCTTCTTTTTTCTGCTTCCCACACCATCCACCCTTTTTTTTTTTTTCATTTTTCCTTTCCTCTCTTATCACTTTGTCCCCTATTATCTAGAAAAATAAAGCATGACCGTCCACGTAGCCACCTGCCACTTTGTATCTCATCCTCCTCTGCAAGCAACCTCCCCAGATGACTGGTCTTTACAAACTCCCCCACTGCTTCCATCGCCTCCTCTGGAAACCCCTGAAGTCTGAATTCCGTGTCATCACTCGGCTAGTAGTGTACGTGGCCTCTTTGTAGTCAAGTCCTGAGCCTTTTACCTCACTCTTCATTTTCCTGGAAACCTCTGCCGCGCTTGCGGGTTTTGGCCAGCCTCTCTTCCCTGAGCCCTTCTCTCTGTAGGTGTCTGGTTTCCCTTCTCTCTTCTTCCTTAACTGGGGGAGTTAGTAAGGTGCCTTAAGTAGGGTGACCAGACCAAGACAGACTTGAGAATTAAAAGGTGCTCAGTGACAACAGGCGCAAACAGAGATCATCCCAGGAAATGAAGATGCCGGTCATCCTCTCCGACGGCCTGTTGGAGGAGGGAGTGGAGAGGCACTCAGGGCAGGACGTGGATGAGCATAGATCAAAGAGTGCTCATCAGTCAGTCTCAGAGTTGCTTAGCTACTTCTGCTAAGAATCTGCAGTTAAAAATTCAGCTTCACATTTATGAGAGGATTCAGTTACCCAAGGAGGAGTGTCAGAGCAGGATTAGGAAAGACAAGATGGGCGAGGAAGAGAGGCCTGGGTGAGGAAAAGACAGAGCTGGTTGGACCGGGTTCTGGGGCCTCCAGTCACTGAGTCTGCCCTTACAGGTGAAGATGAGCTCGGGACTGAAACCGCTTCCAGGCTCTTCTCAGCCCAGGGTTGCCCCAGATCAGCAGCACTGAGTGGCCAGCTGGGTAGGCAGCCATGATAATTTTGCACAAAATATCCCAGGAACTGTTATCATCGAAGATGTTGGACATAGAAAGAAATAGAGCAACTGCATTGAAAATGTAGAGAATGAGAAAGTAGCTGGTAGCTCTGATGGCCCCCACATGAGCCTCCGTGCTGGGGTCCCTGGAGCCAGTGGCATTGCTTTCTATGCGTAGGGTGTGTCTCTTGAGAGAGAGGATCAGCAGGGCAGCTGCCAGGATGAACAAGATGAGAGGAATGAAGATCCCCAGGTTATAGAGAAGAGCCAGGTTGACCACATTGGTCTCAGAGAAGTACTTCTTCCCGGTGGAGTTGGACAAAGGCTTAGGAATGGAACTGTTCACATACACGTTGAAGATGTCTTTAGAGAGGGGAAAGCTAAAGCCTAAGGAGATGAATAGAGATAGCCTCAGAAGCCAAGGCATGAGCGCCAGGATTTTCCTCTTCATCACAGAGAACAGTGGGTGAGTAAAGTTCGCAATTTTAAGACAGTAGAAGATGGTGAGCCAGGTAGCGAGCCAGAGGTTGGAGTAGTTCAGGAACACGATGATGACTTTGAAAGGCATGTACACTGCGTTTTGGTTATAAGTGACCCAGAAAAGTAAACTGTACATATTCTCCAGCATCATCCAAATCTGTAGCAAGAGCCTGGAGATGCTCAGCATCAAGAGAATGCTGTCACCTACAGGGAGCCTTTTGCGTCTGGCCCACTCGGCCCCATGGACGGTCGTGATGAAGCCGTTCCCGATGATGCCAGTGACACACTCGATTCCGGAGACCACCAAGGTGAAGACGGCCTTACCCCTGGACATGCCTTTGTCTGTGGCACCTGTGCTCACCATCGTCATCCTTTTGGGCCCAGATTTTGGGGTTTCCTTGCTAAGAACTGGTACCTGCTCTGCAGTCTTCTGACCCTCACTCAATGGTATTGTGATTTTTCCTTAGTTAATGGTTGTTTCTATTTTTTCTTCATTTGCCTGTCACATGACTACAGGTTAGAGGCTTGAAATGCAAATGATGACAGGATCTGGTTACTGGCTCTCTCCATTTTTCATAACGACCATTAGTCTTAGGCTTTCAGGAGCTCATTGGGAAGACTTGGAGACAGGTATCTGTCACAGTACCTTCCTACCCCATTTACTTTAAGTCCATATCCACCTGACAGGGCAAGAGTCCCACGAGAGGAGGCTTCAGAGCCTCTTGGCCTTTTTACTTATCTCACAAGACCTGTTACCTGCTAAATTATTTGTAAAAACGCTTTCAGATTCTCTGAAAATTCTCCCTTCTTCTGCTTCCTGTATTGTCTCCCTTATTTAGGGAGTTTTTATTCCTATGGTTTATTCCTATGGTTAGCCTGTTTACGAATAAGAAATTCTCATCAGCTCATATATGAACATCTTTGACTTAGAATCACATTTCTTCCAGAAAGGCCAGCTGTTATAATGTCTTCAAATAATACACAGAAAAGCCCACATTGGATGCCATTTGGGTTAACTAGACACAAGAAAGATGCAATCGTCACATTTTCCCCGTTTGTGTGTGTATCATCGATTAGAATTCACTGGTATCCACACCACTGTTTGAGCTCAGAGGCAGGTGGAGGTGGCCTGGGAAGGCTTCTGAGTGTTCTGAACATGGTGTTGAGGTTGGGAAATGTGAGAAAATACTGTAACTTGAAATTTGATTCCCTGTGAGACCCGGGCCATGCAACAGAATGGACTCGGGTGCTTTAAAGAATCTGTAGGCACCCAGGGCTATTCCTGATGTAGTCGCTCAGGGTCTGGGCCAGGGCCCAGGCGTGCTGCGCTGTCACAGGGCCAGGACTGTGAACCCGTCTCCGCTGGGCTTCAGGGAACCTGGGCCACGTCTAGCCCACGCTGGTCTTGTACTATCTTTGTTGGTACAACTTTGCTTTGTCTTGTACTATCTAATGTTGGACAGCATTAGTCTACCAGTTCTAACTGCATTTTTTATCAACCAGCATTTCGGTTTCAGAGGTTACATATATGCATGGGAAAATATCTGTCTCCTCTTGAAAATGAGAAGATTTGGCAACATGGGGTCTGCATGGTGAATCGGTTGCAGCGGAATCATGCCTGCCCATGTGAAGCCAGATGCGTTCCCGCCTTCCCGTTTGTCGCAGCGCCCAGCTGTTCCTCGTGTCTCCTCGCCCCTGTGCCTCATGCCAGCGTGTGCCCTATTATACTTCTCACAACATGAAGGGAAGGATGACCAAAACAGAGTTCCCCAACCCACCAAATAAAGAAGTTAGATTTATTTTTAACTTCTTGCTTCTCTGAGCGACTACATCAGGAATAGCCCTGGGTGCCTACAGATTCTTTAAAGCGCCCGAGTCCATTCTGTTGCATGGCCCGGGTCTCACAGGGAATCAAATTTCAAGTTACAGTATTTTCTCACATTTCCCAACCTCAACACCATGTTCAGAACACTCAGAAGTTAACTTCTATAAAATTGTCTTGCCTTATTAAATCATACTTGCAAGAATGAAAAAAGTGTTGTTTAGAGAAACAAAAGTTCATGGGGATGAAAAGGCTGATGCAAGAGTGTCCCCAGCAGCTGTATCCACAGCAGCCAGAAACGGGAAACAACGCTGGCCGACAGACAGCTGCGTCTTCGGTAACCTCTCTCACTTCTGCTGAGAGAGGAAAGTAGTGTTTGTCAGCAGCTCCCACATGTTCTAAAGCACCACACTCATGTTTTGATTTAGTTTGTCCCAATTTAGGCAAGATTCAAATAAATATTACCTCCTCAAATTTTTTCATGTGATTGCTGATTTCCACTGTTCTGACACCATCTTCTGTTGGTTTTCATTCATATCTTTCCTTCCTTTTAAGAGGTAAATGGAGACAACTTTATTTTAGGGAAAATCTCAGTGGCAGGGACCAGACACCAAAAGTTTCAGATTCTTGGCTGTTAAGTTCAAAGCTTTGGTGCAGGTGCAGGATGGAACAGACTTGGAAGAGTCTGTAATTAGAGGGGCCATTTTCCTCTCATTTCTCTCTCAAGCACCACTGTCCGGATTCGAACATGCTTTTTGTAAGAGGAGGATCAGAGGAGGATCAGAGGAGGAGAGCATCTCTGGGAAAGGGGGCCCGCACCTGGACCGCCCCTTCTGGAGCCGGAGGAGGGGCTTCCGCATGGTCCCTCCACATCGGCAGAGCCTCGGAACCTTCCCCACGCCCATGAGGGCCTGGGCATTTGCTGACGGGGTAGTGGATTCCACCAGGGCCTGGCGGTCCTCTCAAGGAAGCCTTAGGAGCAAGGACAGAGGAATGGCCTTGAAAGAGACCACCCCAAGGCTCTGTTTGACCCCAAGTAACAAAGATGTTACCTCAGGGAGGACAGGGAGAAGAAATTCTGAGCAGATCTTGTGACGACAGTGGTCAAGCCTGGGATGACTGAGAAAACACGAGTATCATTGGTTGAGGGCGCAGCATCAGCTCAGTGGAATGAACACGAACAAGCTTCTTTCCTTCAGTCAGTGCTCAGCTCTGTGCTGTTGCAGCTCCCACATGCCATCGTGGTACCTTGGGCCGCTTCCATCTTTTCTAGTCTTTTTTGGTGATGAACACTCGACTCAGTTTAGTTCCATATTTGGTTTAAGCCTTACCTTCTCTCTCTCCCCAAGCACAGTTTGCGCTGAGACCCCATCTGCTTTGAATTGATGGGGACGGGCTGGGTTCTGGGACAGCCATCTCTCCCCCTTCAACCCTGCCATCTCCAGGGCACTGCTGTGGAGAGCAGACGCAGATGACCATCACTTTATTTTACTGGTTCCTGTGGTCAACATGCTCTCTTGAGCTTGCTGCTTCTTCCCCAGGCAATGCCACCTGGCTCTTGGGGACTTTTTGGGTTGGCATTTATACTCGTGTACGGATTGTCTGGTGAGGAACACGGCGGGAGGTTGTTAGGAGGGCTCTGCTGCCTGTCACTCAGCCACCTCCTCATCTCCCTGCCCTACCTTTTTATAAATACAGAGCTAGTTGTTGGGACGGGGGCTGGTTCCAGGGGAGCTGCTGTTGCCCCCTCCTAGTAAGCTCTGCAGGGACGAATCCACCACCAGTCCTTGGCTGCTTTCTGTAGCTCTCTCCGTCTCAACCCCGTCTACATTACTTGCCTGAATTACCTGGAGGGCTTAAAATAATAATAATAATAAAAAAAAGACAAACATGTATACCCATGTCCCACTCTCAAATGTTCTGAGTAAATTTTCCGGAGAAAAGCTAAGCCTTTGGCATTTCTAAAGCTTCTCATTGCAATTCTAACACAGGGCAGGGGAGGGTGGAGAACGTTGTGGGGTGCTTCTCTGCCTGGCTTAGATTGTGGGCTATAGGGTTAATTCCAGGGCCACAGGAACCCTGTCCTTGGGCATCCTTGTGGATGGGACGGGAATGACTTCCTAGAGGGGACCAAGGGGCTGTGTTCTTGTCTCAGGTGGAGGGAGACCAGATCCAGAGGTTGAATTATAGGAAATAATTACCATATTTTGCAAAACTGAGTTTTTGGCTGTGAAAATCTCTCCCACTCTATAGAGTTAGAAAAGTAAAATATTTCCAACATCTCTGTGAAAAGTAGGAAAAAGAAGCCAGACCTAGAGGCCATTTGCTCCACTTTGTAAGTTGACCGTTTCCATGTGCTCATGTGGCATTGGATGTAACTAGAGAAAATAGCCGAGGTGCTATTATGGAACAAATGACAGTAAGAACAAAGACCAGGGATGTGGAAAAGATGGGTGCTCAAAACCCAATAAGCTATAAAGAGAACTCAGATGTCAACAAGGCTTGTTTTGGTTTCTAAAAATAAACTGTTTTGTATCTATGTGAAAAAAACCTGCCTGGGCCACCCAATTCTTCAACAATAGCATGTCGTGAAAGAGTGTCTATCGAATGTAGTGAAAATTGTGTCCTGAAAAAATATAAACACATGCAAATGTAAGTGTGACCAGAAATACTGTCTCTCAATGTACTGGAAATATGGCTTGGAAATGAAAGATAAATTGTGCGAAAAGTTTAAAAATGCTACAACGTTTGCTATTCCAACTGATGAGGGTGCAGATTTAGTAATATTTAGATGTAAGCCCTACTTAGTCACTGAGATTTAGAGAATATATGACTGAACATATTTTAAACAGTGTGCTTACAATAGGCACACACCAGGAAGTAATTAAGAAATTAGTTTTTCTGATAGCAGAAATGTTTAAACTATTTAATAGAGAATGGTGTTCCTGAGATAGATGGGGCTGATACTGGATTTGCAATAAAACTGAAGTTCCATGTGGCAAGTTACGTAAGGACACAGGCTTACATCCACTCCTCTGCGTCATTTGGCAGGAATGGCTTTCTGCTGGAAGTTAAAAGTGGAACATGTCTTGGACACAGAGCTCACCACCTGTGAGCCGGTTCCCCTCCTGAGGTTCGGGTCACAAAACGTTCCGGGAACTATTTGATGAAGAGGACACAGCCCAGCGTTCTGCTCACTGTGCAGGGGCTGGGGTTAGCCACAGCAGGGTGCGGAGGAGCGTGGCTGAACTGTTGAAGTGAACTCACGTACATCATCCAAGGAAAAGAACCCTCTGCATTTGCTCAAGCAGCAGATTGTTACCACATAATTGGCTTTTGAGTTGCCACTTATGATATGTCCCTGAAAAAGCATCCACAAATAGTTTAAAACACTATGGAGAAAGTTATTTAGCTATTTGGTCCTGTTTTCTTAGAACTGGTTTCTAGAAATGTGACGTGATGGAAATTGTGATGCCGAAAACCTAGTTCCCGAATCGCTCGCTGAGTTCCACGTCTGTGAAGGTAACCTCCTGCCGTTCGGCACTGTC